TTGCAAAGATGTGCTGGGACCAGCATGAAGATAGGATTTGAGTCTGAGGTGTGGAGTGAGCAGTTTATCATTAAAGATTGTCAAATGGGGTGATGAGATATGAAAATGTTCTCATGAAAAGTATTCTTGGAGAAGTTAAAATTTAAGTTGATGTGAGATTCGACACTTGACTCCAATTATAGACATCGAAGCACCTTTCACATTCTAAATAGTGTATCTTTATTAGCAACTTATGCACACTTTGTTGAGCCAGATTTCTGACTTTGTTCACTCAGTTGCTGCTGCTGAGCCATAACCTCACTATCTTCCACTTGTATATGTATTAACCAATCAGAAACAACTAAGTTTTCACACAGTGAATTATAAGTCAACAATGCATTCATAGGTTATGTTAACAGAAACACAATATATTATTTAAAATAAAGATGGTAATAATACTTAACAGTACTCAGATCAAGACTCTCAGAAGGTTAGCAGTATCATTCGTATTACTATTGTTTTTTATTGGCATTAGTTTTTTTTCGTTGATCGTGATATGAGTGCTGTGTCCAGATCAGGTGTCAAAACCTAAAAAACATTGCATTCTTTGTGTTGGAGCACTTTCAAAAGAAGTGATAGCAAGATCTCAGGCTGAAAACTTATAGAAAGTTATTGAAGTGTGGAATAGAAACATGAAAATATCATCATGATCATCACCATCATGTGCTTCATACTCTTCCTACATTTTACAATTGTGTAGATATTCTGACCATGCAAATAGGGAAGTGGTCCCCCATGAGAAAACTCCTTGGGGGTAACTAACAACCTGTTTCCCATGATTGGAATGCCCAGAAGTTTCCCTTGAGGTTATTAAGATAACAATGCAGGTGCACTACCTGATATCCATAGTAAGTTCTTGGGTGTGAGAGGCTTTGTGTTTGTATTAACCTGGACCTTATCTCAGTTAGCTAGCACTCAGGGTTAAAGGAATACTGATTAGAGTGTAGTTAGGTGTGATGCGTAATATGTAACCTTTTTTGAGTGAATAAACTTGGTAGGAGAGAGAAATGAACAGTTCTCCTTCTTCACTTCACTCTCTCTACTCCATCCTGTCTGCCTGCTTGAACTTTTATGTCTGTGACTGTTCTTTGTGTGCCTCCTCACAGGTATTCCTCCACAGGTGTTCCTTTACACAATTGACCAAATAATTTCAGGTTCATTAGCTCCTTTTGAGTTTCACGTTAATTCTGGAAAATGAATACTGTTAGTCCCATTTTAAAGATTGGAAAATTGGATATTCAGAGCAGTGTTGTCCAACAGAAATATAATGTGAGCCACATATGTAATAGCAGCCACATTAGAAAAGGAAAGAGAAACGGCTAAAATCAATTCTAATAATATATTTTATTTAATCCATTATATCCAAAATATTATCATTCCAACATGTAATCAATATGAAAATTATTAAAAAGATCATTCACAGTCTTAAAAATTTGTTTTGTACTAAGACTTTGAAATTGATGTGTTTTTTACATTCACAGGCCATGTCAGTGAATGGACTAACTGCATTTAAGTGTTCACTAGCTATAGGGGTGGCTAGTGGCTTGTGGTTAGTACAAGTCTTGAGGATGGAGTAGAAAGTAAGTGACGTGGAGCAGTGCCCACCACTTAGGGAACCACAAAGACAGCTGGAAAGACCCTTGCTCATGATATCAGGCATGTACCATAAAAATGAACTGAATTAGCCAAAAAGAAATGACGTTGTGTTGCCCAATTCAAACATGTTCCAGTGTCTCACATATTTTTTTTTTGGTAAATTTTATGACTAGTGTGGAAAGATATGCTTGAACATCTTTCTACCAAAATCTCTGCAATAGAGAAATCAGAGTGGATTGTGCTTCTTGTAACCCCAAGACCAGAATTAGAACCAACATTATTTTAGAATTATTCAGAGTATGATCACATTTTCAGTGATAGAACCCCACTCTTGGAGAGAGATTTAAACCTATGGGTACTATCTTCTAAGAGGCAAGTCTCAAATCATTCAACTACCATTTGCCTTTAATTAGAGGTAACCCTCACTATAATTAATACAAGTATATGATTGTGAATATTAACATGTAGTGTGCATTGAAGTAAGAATTTACAAGAAAGTCTGTACATGTTTGGACTGAATTAAGATGATGTCTAACTGATATAATCTCATTATCATTGGATCGGAACCAGTTATGTAGCATGAGGATTTTGTTATCAAAATATTAATGCAAATGTTTAAAATTTTCATAAACAGAGATTCTTTCAAAAACTGTACTTGGAATGCTTTAAGGGAACTAATATTCTTCAAAATCTAAAGGAAGGTTCAAGGCCCAGAAGATGTGAGTCTCCATTGGTCCTACATGATCTGATGACATATACACCAAAGTTGCCAAGATATTTTGATTATTTGGCATTCATGCTGTGTAGTTCTGAGTTGAGACATTTTCATTTTTACTTTATACTTTACTTCCAGAACCATGAGCATATTAAGATTCATATTTATAAATATACATACATATACACATATACATATACATACATACATATATCTACAAGAGGTAAAATAGATGTTCTTAGCAGCTCAGGAATAGATAAGATCAAAATGAAATTAATAAGGGTTGATTGCTGGAAATCATAGTTTCATAAATCTATGGGTCATTATTCATTTATTGACAATGTATTATTTGATGAGACCTCCCACAGTTGGGGTAAATCTTAATCTTAGGCTTCAGAGCAGTTATTCTTATACTTTTAGATTTTTTATATATTTTAAAAAACTATTTTTTCATGCCCAGAAAAAAAAGAGCATATCTGCACACAATCTAATGCATAACTGAAAACATTTCACTGATTGACACCCTCCAGTGCTCTCCCCAAATCTGGTTTGAATTCTAGGTGTAGAAGTCCTGTTTTTAAGAGTCATTTACTGTAATGTGTTGTGCTGGGTCTACTTGGCAGACTAAGAACCATTGATCAGAATGCATTTAGATTTGACTGCTTTCCCAATTATGAATTGTAATTACACAGGATGTAAGCATGGGTTTAAGTGGTTGTAAAACTGCTCCAATACTTGTCATGCTATTAATTTAATAAACTGAATATTTAGCTAGGGTCTTCATAATTACATGTCAACAGACTGAAAGATTCTTGCAAATGTTGTCATACTATATTTGCAGCAATCCCCCCCACAATTTTTTTTTTCCCAAAGAGAGAGAAAAAGAGACTGAGAGCGATGACACTAATCTCTTTGCCTCTAGGTGTTTATCACACCATGAAAGCCAAAACAATTACTCAGGGCTTCATGGGGTAGTCAAGACTGGTAAATAGCAAAATGTTATTTCCTTGGAGGATGTTTGCTTGCAATGTTTCTCAGTGGCAGAGGGAAAACCGTTCCCCAACAGGAGCAGCCCTCCTTCTGAGAGCAAATACAAACGAACAAAAATGACATTATGTTCTTGCCTGCCTGGGGCAAAAAGAATCACCTATTCTTAACAGGACTTCAGGTGTGTGATTTTCTGCCATTTTCTTTCTTTTATTAGATTAGAATGACTGCCCCTTGTAAAAGCCAAGCTGTAATGTGGTACTATCAGGCGGGCTGGAGGATACAAGGGTGGTGCATTATGTCTTTAAGGTAACTTGACACATTCTTGCCATGCAAAAATTTCAGAATGTATTCAGACAGATGTTGGAGAGGTAGTAATTATTTTTTTCTCTTTCTAGTCAGTAATTTTTCCTTGTAGAATTCGTAGTTCACTAATTAAATAATAGTTAAAAAGTGTTGCATCTGAGAAAATGGGGACCAAGTTAAGAAAATGGGGATTATTTTAACTTCCAATCCTCTGCAGTTTGCTTCAGCCAGCCAACCTAAATCTTTAGTGTTAACATAATTAGGTTTTGCAGAATAATGGCCCATTTTACCAGCTATCATTTCAGGTTAATAAAAACATCACATAATTTTAAATGTTACTACTTCATTTTATTTGCCCATCAATTCAAAGCAACTTTGGGGCGATGGGAGAAGGCAGAGGGGGATTCCAGCATTTATTAAATGCTCAACTATTGAAAACATCACCCCTGAAAATTATTTGAATCCTCTTGCTAGACTTTCTTTAGAACCTACTCTAAAAATGTACTGGGGGAAGAATTTTTCTCCACAACAGATCTCAAATAACTGCATTTTATTCAATATCCAAGTGTTTTTCACAGATGTTATTTTCTCATTTCTAGTTAAGTACAATAATATGATTTATACAAGAGACATGTCTGCTTCTTATTTGATTCTTCAAATCCATAATGAATATGGTAAAATGTGAGTCACACCTTTCCAGGTATTGAGAAGAGTAAAAGTTCTCCATGTTCCCATTCAAAATATGAACATTGTCACTCCTAATCATTCCTGAAATCATATTATATTTATGTTAGCTTATGTGGGGAATTTGTTGGCATCTGTTTTAGGTAACTGTAGGAAAAATATAGGTTTAGTGTAAGAAAGTAAAAATATAGTTAAAAGTAAGAAATCATTCTGTATGGAAATGGTCAGAACTGTCAGAATATTTATATCAGATGGATATTTGATATTTCTTAGAAACAAGATTGATTAGAACCTACTGCTTATTTCTTGAGGCAAACAGAGTTGTTCATGACTAGACATTTGAATCAAACCCCCAGGGTTTTGATCTCTTATCTCTATATATTTTATTCCTATATATTATAAAGGTCATCCAATTGGATTTCCTTTAAAAAAAAAACAAACCTAGAGTTTCACCTGGTGGTTCTTATTGTTTCAAGCTGTGCATTAGTCATTAGCCTTATCAATAAATGCTTGGAGTCAAAGTGGCAGGTAAGATATCCAAGTTCAGACTCCGGAAACTGAAGCTTTAAATCATATGGATCACAAACACATATAGAAGTCCAGACATGACACATGTATAGAAAACACGCAGTTTGAAGTCCACACATATCCTACTCAATCCTGTGAGCAGAGAAACTGTTAAATAGATATTTTATTTGGTGATTAACAACAGTAAAGTACAACAACCCATTTTCCACATAGCACAGAGCATCCCATTTCAGAATGCTAAGTCTTCACATCCCAATGTCGCTGAGTTATTGATGGTGGAGAGTGAAGGAGAAGGAACAAAAGATTTAATTTCAGGATTTCCTCACATCTGCCCCTAGTTCATCTGAAAGTATTTAAACTCAGAGATTCAAGCAAGACAGGGTGAGGCAGAGCACAAATGGCAGGGAGAGTTGGGTGTGGTCAGTGCCCTTCTTCCAGCCAGTACCCTTCTCTGTATTACCTGGGCCAATGTCTGGTGCCATTTTAGGGATCCAACTCGAGGACACCTTGGGCAGATCCACCCCAAACATTTACAGAGCCCAGGGCCAAAGTATTAATGGAGGCCCACTTGTCATGTGCCTAAATATTTGGAAATTAAACATTAAGCTAACAGAGTGCTTATGAATAAAATATCCAATTTGGCTACTTTGACACGTATGTTTTCATTGCTGTTGAAAGCCCAGAAATAGGTTTAGAATCCTTACACCGCTCAAAGATCAATATCTCCCCTCCACACCTCAACCCTGCCTCTTCCAGGCCCATGTTCTGGTGCTCTGGGTTTCACTTGAAGAGGGTTTCTCCTTGGTCACATGTGCATTCCTCAGGGAATACTCCAGGCCTGGGTACGAAACGACATTTTGCCACCCCTCACGTCCAGGGTGTGCAATCATGATGCTGCCTACTTTTAGGAGCGTGGACCTCCAGAAGAAGCTCACAATGCCCAAAAAGTGGATGGAGGATACCTGGGTAGGCAAGTGACCTGGACAAAGCTTGAGGAAGGTGAGTCTGGGCTCCTCTAAGCAAGGGTCCCTCTTTGCCAGGACTTAGCAAACTTGGGTTCTCCCTACGGCCATGTACAGGGTCTGATATGAATCATTACCATATCACAGCAGGGAAGATTCGTTATTTTTTCTATAAATAGCAATACTTTCTATATAGCTGAACCTTTGTCCCATTTTTTTGAAATTTTATATTCATCAGTACTACTGATAGAATCATATTTTCACTATGTGAAACTGTTAACAGATGAACTCATACGCAAAACTATATTATCCCACCACTATGTACCTATCCAAGTAGAAACAGCAAGAACTAGGATATAAGATGGAGGGAAAACTCTGTATCCTCTCTCTATCCCAACCTTGTTCTTGGGACATAAAACTGTAGATGAAAACAGATTTGAAAGGATGCTAGAAAGCAGCAGATAAGTAAAATCCACTAAGTTGGGGTTTCTTCAAAGAAATGGGCTTTTCAAAAGAACATGGGAATCCAGATTAAAAAGAACATTCCATTTCCATTTGTTATATACCTAAAAGTGAAATTTTTATTAAAGGCAGATCACATCACTTCAGGATATTCAGAAAACTACATCTAAATACACTGAACACAAGATATTCCTCACCAATTTAGATTCTTATACTCTCATAAAGATAAATGCAGATGAATTGATTTAGATCAGACCTTCATTAAATTTTAGAATTAGCTTTTGGAATCCTACATATTGAATTGTGCAGTGTCTGATTCCTGAGCATTGTGACAAAGCCATCAGTGGATAATGATAAAGTGCATCATTGCCAGAAATAACACAGTCTGCCTTTGGTTTGTGCTAATAAAGTATAAGACAACTTAAATTCCAATTTTAATATTAGAAATCCACCTCATTATAAGTAATCTCAAACTCTGTATGCTAGCAGAATTTTCATGTGTATTCTTTGGTGAGCCTGAAATATAATTTTCTGTTTATGCTTCTAATGTAAATCTCCAATTTCTGGTTGGCCACTCTGGCACTAAGCCAAAGCTCTAATTTATTTCCATCTTTTCTTATTTCTTCTATCAAAAGAGACTGTTGGTTTGAATAACAAACATTCAATCGACTTAGACATGGGGTGGCAGGCAGGACAGGCATTACCTGTTTACCTTTTATTGCCTTTTTCGAATTGGCTTTTCTGGGAACAAAACCAATAAGACATGCTGTTCCTTCATCTAGTTTTGACTCAGGTTATTTATCAGAAAAACGTTCCCTGTTTCGCAAGGAGTGGCAGCAGAGTTAAGAATCAAGACTGGACCTAACACTGCCGAAGGTTATTGCTCTACCAAGTCATGTAGGACTTCATTGTCCTCTAGACTCAGGGCTGATAATTGTTTTTGATTCCAGGAGGTGCTGCTGCTAACACATCTGAAACCCGCAGGACAACAGTGTGCCATGAATGGAATCTGCACTGTTTGAGCCTCTTCGAACCTTTGCAGAGGTTCTTCCCCACCTGCCTCTACTTGCTGTCTTGCACAGTAATTGGCCTAATAAAAGGCAGAAACAAGAATTTATTACACCTTGGGTGGTACTTAAAGCAAACTTTATTCTCAGAAACAGCAGTTATGTCTAGTTGCTGCTGTATATTTTGATATTTCATTTAAATACTTAGTCTGAATATATTCAAAGTCAAATTGCTAATCACTCAATTTCCCTGCTACTGTCCTGGTTCCCCAGGTGGCCTCTTATGATACTCCATGTAAACACTATATTTGGAAAGATACATAGATCAGCATCCCTTGAGTCACATGATCACCATCAATCTGAAAATAGCATGACTCAAAAATAAAAGTCTCTCAGTACTCTGCCAACAGGCTTTGGCATAATCTTGGCAATCAGATATTTTTCTTTCTTTTCTATTTATTTATTTATTTACTTTTTTTTTTTTTTTTGCTGTTATAATTTTTTTCCCAAGTGGCAATAGTCTCATATTTTGTAGAAGTTGTCCAGGCTAGTGAATATCAATCCATCTTCCTGGGTATTAAATTCATCAGTTGAATGTGCTCAGTCCACACAGATATCAGTAAAAGTGAGTGTGAAACTGCTTGGCGGCTGTTCCTTTCATCTTAAGAAATCGCAATACAAATTCCTGAAATTGTTTATGCAGGAATTTTTATTCTTTAAATCTTCCAGTGTTAAAGCAACAAGAAAACATTTAGAATGTCCTTTGGTGGAATCTTATTACACTTGTTATATATGTAAACGGATATTCTTTGATGCCAGCACGTTCGTTGCCCTTACAGAGAAATCTCTGCACAATGAAACAAAACAGAACGAAAGAGGACAAAATAAAATGTCAGTCTTTGCTGATTCGAATCAGATACATTAACAGATTGTCTGGTAACACAAATCGGCAATAATACAAAAAATCTACATATTACAGTATTTCAAGAAAAATAACTTCATTTGAATACAAAAGGATAGATACACTTTCTTTTCTCCTATAGCCACTCTTGTGTAGTGGGTATGAGCTCGCACTGGGTGACTCAGTGCTGCTAAGATATACAGGGGTATGACTGGCTTGCGCTTCTGGAGGGGGCTGTTACACGTGTGCGTCACTAACATCAGACAAAGAAATCTTTCAACCAACAAGGGTTACAGAGCAACGTTCACTAAAGCACAGGTTGGAAGGGATTCAGGGACTGAAGCAGGCCAATATGGCAGCTTGTAACAGATTTCCTTATACCCACAATGCACCTGACAGCAAAGAATGCTTCTATTTGGTTGGTCCACACACTGGGCAGAGCGGTACGAGGGCGCACCACGTTAGAGTAGCAAATGTTTTTAGTTTTTTTTTTTTTTTTTTTGTCTTTCCTGTTGGGGTGGGGGGGGCTGTCACAGCCTTTCCAATCCGCAGTAAGCTTTGCAGCTGGCGATGTGATTTGCAGTGATAATATCAACAGCTGCCAACTCCTCTGGAGTCACAAATGAACAGTCTTGACTCCGATGTGCTGTCCACGTCTGAGAAATATGGCTTAGTTCAGTTAGGCCTTCTTAGTTTGTACGCTGTGTTTTTGAATGGGGGGTGTGTTTATATTTCCTATGTTAGTAGCAAATGCTTCGCTTGGGTTGTGTTTGCTTCCCCAGGGCACAGGCCTGTCCGGTGGCTGGAGGCGACATCTAGAACAGCAGGGGGCTGGCTGTTCCCAGCAGCGCGGTCAGCAGCAGCAGCAGCAGCAGCAGTGCTAGGGAACCCTGCGGGGGCGCCCCCTGGCTGGAGTCGGAGCCGCAGCTGCCCGCCTCTTCACACCGCAGCTTCTCGCAGAGGATGCCAGTGTATGCAGCCGGGCACAGGCAGCGCACGTTGTTGTGGCACGTCCCCCCGTTCTGGCAGTGCAGGAGCTCATTGTCGCAGACATTCGCTGCAGAATGAGGGGGAGGGTGGGGGGAGGTGCGGGGAGAAGAGGCAGAATCAATTTAAGTTCATCTGGTACATCATGTTTTCAGCTTTAAAAAGGAAAAAAAAAAACCACTAAAAAACTCCATCGATCTTGTGCTCCCCCCTCCCCTTCACAAACTAAGCATGTGACTCCAATTTTCCAAACAAATGTAGTTTGCTGCCTTTGTTTTTTATCATATTAGTCCTTTTCGTATAGATTTTTGCTGCAATCTTGGATATTATCATTGTCCATTTCAGGCTATTGAATGCAAAAACAATACAACACTCCTGGTTTGGCAGTTATCTTCTCTTCATGGAACTGGGACCTGTTGTGACCTCCTGGGTTTTTAAAGGACAAGTGCTGGATACAAGAATGCAGAGCTTTGAAGCCAGATGAGTGGTATTTAGAATGCAAAGCAGTATTGCTAAAGTGACCAAAAACCTCTGGGGAGTGGGCCATTCTCCCCACTTCTTATTCCAGCAGCTGCACATGCAGACAGAGCCCGGGGGAAGCATGGGGATGAGGGTTGGGGATGTAGTGAAAGTACATGCTCCAGGCAAGCAGCAGCCAGATGGGAAGAGGGAAAGCTTGTTTCATGGGAGGGGTGTGAGGAAGAGCAGTCACTTTTGTCCCTGATAGCCTATTAGGATTTTTATCACCTTGTAAATATGGGAAGTGGAGCCCAAGGTTACCTTGTTTTCTGGGAATAGTAATAAATGCAATGGTGAAACCCTGATTACCAAAATTTCATTTCATCCATCAATTAATAGAATCAATTTGAATAAAACCAGCCAAGCTTTTTGATACTAAAATTCATTCACAGTCTTTGTCATGTAACTTTACCTCTAATAATTTCTTATATCTTGAAAGCTCTAGTTATTCTCATTAATCCTATGTCTCATATTCCTTTAGATAATCAAGGTTTCACTGATTTAGCAGAATGTTAAATAGAACCCAGGGAAATTAACAAAACAACAACGAATAAAAGAGCCAAGAACCCTTCCCAGCAACAAATGCTGCTTAAGCACTTAACATATAGACCACTCTGGACTGAGGGGTGAGGGGCAGGTGGGGGCAGAGCAGAAAAAGCAGCTTTTTATAAATTATAACATTCTTTTTTCATTTAACAAACTGTCATGGTCAAATTTCCCCAAAGATGCCACATGAGTTAACTATACACACACACACACACACACACACACACACACATGTGAACACACACACACACACACACACACACACACACTGATATAATGTTGCTATTAAGTGCAAACTGGGTTTTCTTTCTTTTTTTCTTTTTTGCAGACTGGTTTTTAAAGGTAATCTCAACCCTTTAAGTAATAACTCAGTAGCGAATGTCCCATTGTCCTTTAATCATGTTCAATAGTCCTGTCACCTTCAAAAGAAGCTTCTTACTCACAAACATGCTAATGTTCTGTGTGCAAATGAATTGACAAAAGGTGGCAGTGAGTAACCACAGAGCTGAAAACAAAGTGCCCTCAATAGGACCCTGTTTGATCCCCTTCTTCAACAGCTTCTTTGTGACCTCTAAGATAGTTGCATAATGATAGGTAAAACTTTCAAATGTATCTACACTTACTATTTGTAAATTTCAAGAGTGACTGACTGTTAAAGGCTATTAAATTCTTGAACCATACAAAAAAAAAAAAAAACCAGCAGTGACCCATGGGTTCTTTTGACCATATAAGCTACCTCTCATTGGCTGGCTCAGAAATAATAAATATTAGACCCAAATTATAATATTTTAAGAATTATAGTTATAAATGTCAAGATCTGTAGCTGTGAAGCAAAGTCTCAATGTATGGTGTGGTTAGCCCAATGGAAAAAACTGACAAAAGTCATCGTTTTTTTCGGATGTTGTTAATCTGGAAAGCATACATAGGGTTTTAGGATTTTGTTTTGCTTACACTTCAAGAAATCTACTTAATTGGGGCAACATGGAATAAACAGATGCAAATAACTGTTTCCCTTTAAAGATTCTCAGTGCTCTTGTTCTGGGCAGCAGATTGCTGAATGGGATACTTCCTTTCATTTGGGTACTTGATGTAAGAAAATATCTGCTCCATCAATATCGATAATTGCTTGCCTTGAATAATTGAGAAGAAATCAATAGTTAATTAAATATCACTCCTCTTTTTTTAAAAAAAGCAATTTTTCTTCTTCTTGGAATTGAATGTAAATTAGTTGTTGAGCAGAGGTTTACTTTTTTCTCTTTTTTTGAGAAGCTGGTGATTAAGTCAAAATGCAATACCTTCCCTACATTTACTAGTTGATTTTGATGGTTGGGAGAAATTTGATAAATATTGGAGGAACAGATGTAGCCCAGGATTAATCATCTCATAGATTTGGGTAATATGTTTTCTATAGCATATAAATAGAATTTTTCTCCCCTGTGATACTGGGTATCAAACTCAGGGTCTCACACTTGTTAGGCAAGTGTTAAGAACTTTACTACTGAACTACATTCCCAGTCCAAAAATAAATAAATAAAATGAAACATAGAATATATTTTATTACTTTAGAATGCACTATAAAACATTTCATTTCTTGATTGAATGTTCCTCTTAAAGTTCAACACATGCAGAGCTTTACTGTACACACAGCTTCTGTGTTGAAATCACACACTAGAAGCACACTTAAACCTAACTACATCTCTTACCTGGATTTTTTAACCCCATGCTCCATCCTCATGTCATTTTGTACCAAATTTGTGTTGGTTAATACATAAAATCAGTAGTTAAATATCACTGAGTTCTTCCTCAGCATTTATAACCTATACTAAATATCATGAAGAAATTTAAATTAAATATCAGCATTTGAAACCTGTACTAAATATCATACAAAGCATGATCTCTGCTTTTAGGGAAATCACCTTGGTTGGGAGGATAAAATATATATATATATGAAATGGCCTAATATTAGCTTCATTAAAATGCCTTTATCAGTTCCATCCAGCTCAACCAATGTCTATTTTGTGCCAGGCATCCTGCTAAATTTTATGGTTGTAATTCTAACTGCCCTAAAGGAGCTCACTGTTTGGTGGAAAATAAACAAACATAAACAGAGATATTATGATGTGATAAAAAAAAGAATTCAAAGGAAGTACTTGCAAACTTCTAGGGGAACTCAAATGATGGTATAAATAATTGCTTTGGGAGAGATTAGGGAAGATTATATTAAAAAATTATATTTGAGTAAAGATGTGCATCAGGCGGATACAGGTAGAAAGAGCATATGGATGGGGATATTGTATGAGTAAAGGCAAGGAGATGTCAAAGTGCTTCAATAGATGTTAAACAGTGGTCTCTGAATTCTAAATCCACCCTTCTGATGTTGAAACCAGCACCCTATAGGTGTCTGCTGGGAGGGAATATAGAAGGAAGGAGGAATGAGGACATTTCCTTAATCCTATTTGATAGCTCTTCCTAACAAGTACTGCCCCAGTAATGGCCCTTCATGACAACAGCAGCATTTGGTTCTGGTGCTCAGTTATATTCAGAAATGGTTTCATTTCACTCTTGGAAATTCTGGGACCAGCCTAATAGCAACCCTTTCCCAGAGGCTTGAGCCCCAGTCTCAAGGGGCCTCTGCTCATCATTTCAAAGGTACAGACAGCAGCCAGATATTATCCCTCCCCAGAGGTGCAGTACCCATGTTTATGATGTCTCTTGTCCAAACCTTTACTTTTTGAAAACCCCATCCTCCTTCCTGTAATTCCTCAACCCAGAGTGTAATTCTCTGCCTGTGTGAGCAGTTACTGTCTCAAAGTTATTTTAGATGTCCTATTGTCATTTTTACATCCTCAGACACTTGTCTACCCATTTCCTTTAATAAATTTCCTCTGTTGAAATACCTAGCATGGTTTCAGTTTTCTAATGGGAGCCTGACTGAGGGATATGTGGAACATATTAGTGAACCATGATTGCATTATAGCTAGAATGCTGAATGTGTATAAGGAAAATGGAGATGGGAGTAACAGGTTGCACCCATAAAATGTTCTGAACATTTTATGTAATAATGCTGCAAAGTTTAGATAATAGGCAATGAAGAGCTGTCAAGACCTGTCATGATCAGGGTCTAAATGGAAAAAGGAGAGGCTAGACCAGAAGAGGACAGACTGGAGGTAAGGAAACTTTCAGCAAAATTGAATGGGGTAGGTTAGAGCAATTGGGAGAGGAAAAAAGGATCAGGTTTAGAGACAACTTATGTGAAAAGGTAAGATAAATTTTATGACTCTTGTTTTAAGCATGTGGATGTATCAGAAAGAAACTTATTAAGAAAGAAGATAGATAGGAGGAAGAGTTTTTTTTTTTTCTTTTGAAAAGAAAAGAACTTTTTTGGGACCTGTTGACTTTGAGGGGCCTAGGTTCTTCTGCAGGTGTTTTGCTATTAGTTGTAAAAACTCCTTAATGACCTTTGACCTTTTTTCCAGTCAGGAAATTGTTCATCCTGGAGATACAGATGTGGAGCAGCAGAGGTAGTAATCATTGTTACAAAACATCAAAAGAAGTAGAAGACTTCATGCTGAGAGACTATAGACCAAGTAAATGAGGACTGCAGCCAAACATGGAAGAATATCAGCATCTAAGAGCAAGCAAGACTGTGATGGATGCAGAGGTCTTTACTGATAACATTAAATATTACACCTTCTAGAATTCTATCACATTATGACAAAGTTCCAAATACAAATCAGCTCATGCAGAAAATAAAACCAGGATGGGGATGGCAATTATGTTGACCATCTATACTATACTTTCTTCTCACCCCAGCCCCCATACACCGGAAATTGTTATGGTTTAACTGTTAGTCCCCTCCAAAACTCATGATGGAATTTAGTTATAGTTTTAATAGTATTAAGCAGTGGGACCTTTAAGAGGTATCCTCATGAATGAACAGAAGCCAGCATCATGAGAATGGGTTTGCAAGAGGGAAGGATCTCTCTTGCACTCTCTCTCTCTCTG